ATAGGTGAAAAGCCACTTTACAATAAATTTAGGAACCAGACCACCAAATGCAGTCGTCACAGATCTCTAAGAAACTGACTTACTCATTAGTCTCAGTTATGTAGCAAATGTCATTGCTATAGAGATGCAGAGTGCTTAGCAAAGACAAAATGTTATTCATATGGACGCGATACACTGATTAGAGGATTGCAGCAGTCACCATGTAAAAATGGCATCATATGACATGGTCAGGCAGAAGAGATCATTAGAAAATATGAAACTGGCTATGTTTTTTAAAATGTATTTACACATTTCTATAATGCCCAAAACACCTCCAACTTTCATCGACACCAGGAAATTTTAGAAAAAATTCCCACTGGTATTACCACCAGAACCATCATTAGCACCAGCGGGAACCTAATATAGACTAGGGTCTGGCAGCTCTGTTTTTAACCATTGTAAGGCTTTGTTAACACAATGGCAAAAATGCTAGTAAATGCCAGAACCTAATCTATGCTAATGCTCCCACCAGTACAGAATCAGGGGGAGCACTGACGCAATTTTTGTTAATGGACTGTTTTATAATACTTAAATACTGCACCTACAAATATGTTTGCTATGGAAAAGGGACTGTTAAATTCCAATTTTGAACTATGCCCTTTTGGAAAGGCAGCATTTCAGTACTTTTGATGTTCATGAGATATACTGGTTTGAAAACACTGGAAACTGAATTTCAACAGTGCAGCTACAATATGGCTAACAGAAGGGCAAGCTTACCCAGAAAGCTCTGCCACCTCTGGGTGGAAAGATATGTTTCATTTCCATGCCCATTCAGACCTTGGACTGTGAATAACAAAAAGAGGCCCCCGTTTTGATGTGTGTGTAGTGAAACTGGACTGAACCCATAAACTCTTTTTACATAATCCAAACATCCATCACTTGGTAACAATACTTTTTTGTCATCATGCACCTAGGATAAATTAATATGGGAGTTTTTTCAAAAGCACCTAAGGCTGACATTTTCAAGGGACTCAGGGAATTAGGCACTTAAACCCTCTTGAATTTCTAGAGGATTTGGGTGCCTAGCTCTTTTAGGAGCCTTTGAAAAATCTCAGCCTGAGGCACCTTTTGAAACTCCCACTCAAGACCCAGCAACCTGGATGTAAAAGGGACCTGGTAATGGAATATGGAGCCTGAGCAACCCATCTGACCCAAATGGTTTTATTAACTGTGGGTCCAAAGGATAAAATCTCTTAAAACTTGTTTCCCTCTCAATACTGCAAAATGGTTACAAATTGAATCAATTTCTTTAACAAGGAAAAGGTGAGAGAGGAAGCAGGTTTTCACATCCCACGTAAATATACAAAATTAATAGTTTCCCAATAGACAAAGATGCCTTTACCAATGAAACATCCCCCTTTGCCCTTACTTCTTATTCCAAAGTACATTTTGACTGTTTTGTATCATTCATGGTGACGATACATTTGCAGAGACAAAGAGTATTTTGTGCCAGAGAAGAGACTGAGGTTAAGCTCAACAAGTTACTCACCGGGTCTGTTACATATTCCAGAGTCTAATTCAGTTTCCCTGAAACATAACCGCTCTTTGGAAAGTAGAACTACTGCCCTATCACAGTCTACTCTCCCCACAAAGTATACACAGATGCGCAAGAAGAAACCACTGAACAAAAACGTGTGTGCTACCTTTGGCAGCAATGACCAGTACAAACTTATTCCCGGGAGAGATGGAGCAGTCATGTATAGTTTCTGGCTAAATAAGTGAAGGCTTAGTGAGTAAGTACCTTCTTTAAAGCCAATAAAATCCTTCTTCCACAGAGACTAACAGGCTAAGCAGCCTTGAAATGGGAGTCTAGTCTCTCTTGCAATACGAGCCTACAGTGGAAATTGCACAAGTCGGGAGACAGCAGCAGAAGTTCCCCAGCTTCCCCCAAACAAGAGCAGCAGCTCCCAGAGGCAGCAGCATCAGTCCCGCTACTTTAAAGACAGGGTTTAACCTGCAACAACCTAAAACCTGGCTCCAGTCCCAGCTCCTGCTGGTGTCACCTTTATAAATAGCCCCAGACAAAGGTCCCTCTGGCTCTTGGGGGCAGAGGGGAGTGACGGCTGAAGTTTAATGGACAAAGGACAGACTCATTGTGCAGGGGTAGGGGACCTCTGCACTGTCACATGCTAAAGAAGAGGGTCTCCACTCACAGCCTGAGCTGCTGTCACTGACCCCCCTTCACAGCCTGCAGACTGCTCGGCCTACAGGCACTTGCCCCCACATTAATGCTGAGCAAAAACTCTTGGGAAATAAAGGGATAGAGGGCAAAAGGCACCCACACCAGCTGGACACACACACAGGCAGCAGGTACAGAAGACAGCAGGGAAAACACTTACTATAGAGAGAAACCTGGCGCGCGCACACACACAGGTTAGAGGATAGCCAGGTACACACACATTGCAGTGGGGGTAATAAAAGGCGGGTGCACACCATCAGTGTGTGTGTGTATAAACAGAGGATAAGTACACGTGCCTGAGGGGAGGCATATTGAGGGCAGGTACACCCCCACCTCCTGGGGGGAGTTACTGAGGGTGGGTACACACACTTCTCCCCACGGGGAGGAGTACAGAGGACAAGTACACCACTGCAGGAACGGGTAAGAAGGGTGGATGCACATAATCCCCAAGGAGGGTACCAAGAGAGGTTGTGTACACGCACGCACACAACGACCAAAGGCAAGAGGGATACCAGGGACAGGTGTACATACACACCCACACACCCCCTCAGGGAGGGCGGAGATACCAAGGGTAGGTGTGTACACCCCTTGGGGTGGAAGGATACCGAGGGCGGGTGTGTACACATGCACGCACACACCCTGGGGGTGCCAATGGCACATGTACACTCACGCCCCGGGGCAATGATGGTGTATGTACATACAAATACACACACCCCGGGGCATTGACAGCACGTGTACAAACATCCATGTACCGGGGAAGGGGACGACGACACACCAATGGCACGTATATACACATATGCCGGGGGGAACAATGGCATGTCTACAAACACACACACATGCTGGGGCTACTTATGGCACGTGTATATACAAACTGACTTACCAGCAGCACCAATGGCGTATGTACATGCAGGCATGCGTGGACCAGGGTACCAATGGCATGTATACATGCACTCACCGGGAGTACCACTGGCAGGCGTACATGCAGACGCGCACGCACTGGGGTACCAGGCACTGATGGCAGGGTGTATACCATCGGGGACATTGATGGCGGGGGGTGCATACACACATACCCAGGGGCACCAAAAGCGCTTGTGTACACCCACACACCCCCATACCCGGGGGGGCACCGACGGCAGCACACACACACACCCATACTCAGGGGGGCACCGACGGCGGATGGATACACACACACACACCCAGGGGCACCGACGGCAGCACACACACACCCATACCCGGGGGGGCACCAACGGCGGGTGCGCTTACACACCCACATACACACTCCCCTACCCCGGGGGCACCGACGGCGGGTGCACGTACACACCCACATACACACACCCCTACCCCGGGGGCACCGACGGCGGGTGCGCGTACACACCCACATACACACACCCCTACCCCGGGGGCACCGACGGCGGTTGGGTACACACACCCCTACCCCAGGGGCACCGACGGCGGGTGCGCGTACACACCCATACACACTCCCCTACCCCGGGGGCACCGACGGCGGGTGCGCGTACACACCCACATACACACTCCTCTACCCCGGGGGCACCGACGGCAGGTGCGCGTACACACCCACATACACACACCCCTACCCCCCCCCCAGGGCACCGACGGCGGGTGCGCGTACACACCCACATACACACACCCCTACCCAGGGGGCACCGACGGCGGGTGCGCGTACACACCCACATACACACACCCCTACCCCGGGGGCACCGACGGCGGGTGCGCGTACACACCCACATACACCCACCCCTACCCAGGGGGCACCGACGGCGGGTGCGCGTACACACCCACATACACACACCCCTACCCAGGGGGCACCGACGGCGGGTGCGCGTACACACCCACATACACACACCCCTACCCAGGGGGCGCCGACGGCGGGTGCGCACACCCCCCCCCCCCCCCCCCCCCCCCGGGCCAGGCGGGTGCGCGTACACACCCACATACACACACCCCTACCCAGGGGGCCGACGGCGGGTGCGCGCACACACCCACATACACACACCCCTACCCCGGGGGCACCGACGGCGGGTGCGCGTACACATCCACATACACACACCCCTACCCAGGGGGCACCGACGGCGGGTGCGCGTACACACCCACATACACACACCCCTACCCAGGGGGCACCGACGGTGGGTGCGCGTACACACCCACATACACACACCCCTACCCAGGGGGCGCCGACGGCGGGTGCGCGTACACACCCACATACACACACCCCTACCCAGGGGGCACCGACGGCGGGTGCGCGCACACACCCACATACACACACCCCTACCCCGGGGGCACCGACGGCGGGTGCGCGTACACATCCACATACACACACCCCTACCCAGGGGGCACCGACGGCGGGTGCGCGCACACACCCACATACACACACCCCTACCCCGGGGGCACCGACGGCGGGTGCGCGCACACACCCACATACACACACCCCTACCCCGGGGGCACCGACGGCGGGTGCGCGTACACACCCACATACACACACCCCTACCCAGGGGGCACCGACGGCGGGTGCGCGTACACACCCACATACACACACCCCTACCCCGGGGGCACCGACGGCGGGTGCGCGCACACACCCACATACACACTCCCCTACCCCGGGGGCACCGACGGCGGGTGCGCGTACACACCCACATACACACCCCGATCCCGCAGCCCTACGGCCGAGCCGGCTGGGGCCGCTCTTCCAATCCCAGCTGCCCCGGCCTGGCTTGCCCTCGGCGCCCCGCAGGGAGGCGCTGCTCGGCCCGGGCGCAGGACTCACGTGGAGAGTTTCCTGGTCCAGAAGAGCCCCCCGGGCCACAGCTCCTGCAGCTGCACGGCCCGGCCCAGGTTGCCTTTGATCTGGGCCAGCAGGCGGCTCGCCTCGGCCTCCAGCCGGTCCCCGTACGGCAGCAGCTTGTTGTAGCCGATCTCCTTCTGCGGCACGAAGCCCGGCGCCTCCCCGGGCGGCCCGCTCCCGCTCCCGGCCATGGCTGCCGCCGGCGCCGTCCCCTGCTGCCGCCGCCCTCTGCGCCCGGCTCTGTCCTAACGGGTCACACAGCGGCTCCTGGTGACGAAGCAACCAACCGAGCGAACGGCAGCCTCCCGCTCGGGCCAGGTCACTTCCTGCGCGGGGGGCGGGGGGAGCGGAAGCGGGAGGTGGAGGCGGGGGGCTGAGCTAGCAAGGGGCAGGGGTAGGGGCAGGGGAGGGGGAGTGGGAGAGGCCCTTTAGGAGCCTTGGGGGACTTGGGGCAGGCCTCTGGGGCCTCAGAGGGTGGGGCAGGCACTGGGAGCTGAGGGAAGTCAGGGGAGGCGGTCGGGGAGTGTGACAGGGAGACTTCAAGGTGAGGATTTGAGGAAGGAGGTTGGGAGGAGGCAGGGCTGAAAGGAGCTCTGGAGGGAGAGGCAGAGTTGGGTGTCTGAAGGGGAGCCGGGAGTAGAGGCTGAGACAAGTGTGGTGGGGATTGAGCTGAAGAGGGACAAGAGAGAAGGAAGGGGCTGAGTCACTGGCTGCCTAGCAGTGCTGACCTGCCCTAGAGCTCTGTCCGGGTTGGATTCATTCTGGCAATATTTAAAGTCGCTCTGTCTTGTTAGGAAGGATTTCGCTGGGCATTTGAATGAGGCCGTTTAAAATTTCACTTAAAAAGAAATCTTTATGCAGATTGTCCCACCCTGACAGCCCTTGACACAGAGTGCGGGAGAGGAATACTCATCCCTGCTTCTGTGGCATCCACGCAAATATGGTATTAACAACAGTGTAAAACTGTTCCCCACATCGTCGTGGCAAGTGAGGCAAAAGATAATTTTCCTAATTACGTTTTACTGACATTTTGTGCCAGAGCTGAAGGGAACAAGGGGGTGAAATTTTGACTGAATGATCACACAAAGTATATTTTTAATAGCTTTTAATTCTAATCAATATAAAGAGACAACTAAAATGAAATATGCTAATTGGAGGACAATCTTGCTATTGAAGAAATCAACACCAGACATTGTAGGACTGCAGGATCCATTCACAGTCTGTAGTAAATATAGAGAGAGGAGGCAGAGAAAGCTGTACAGTTGTGTTAACTAAGATTAAATGCCCAAGAGGGTGACTGTGCTAGTTGTGGTGGATTTCACCAGTGTAAGAAACAATGGTGCTATGCATCCACGCTAGTTATCCCATTTTGGGTGGATTTGTACCCCATGCTTACACATAGCACTTTAATCAACAATTGCAGTTTCATGACCCTCTAGGTATCTGGTCTACAAGTTCTCAGCACAAGTCCCTGAAGCAATGGCTTGTGGGACATTTCAAAAGGCTTCTGTGTGCTCAAGGGAATAGTGGGAAAAGGGGGAACTATCCGTGTAAGTACGTAAATGAGACAGTGTCATAAATGTAAAGGGAAGGCTAACCACCTTTAAATCCCTCCTGACCAGAGGAAAAACTCTTTCACCTGTAAAGGGTTAAGAAGCTAAAGATAACCTTGCTGGCACCTGACCAAAATGACCAATGAGGAGACAAGATACTTTCAAAACAGGGGGGAGGAGGAAACAAAGGGTTCTCTCTGTCTGTCTGTGTGTGTCTTTTGCTGGGACCAGAGCAGGAATGCAGGTCAGAACTCCTGTAAAGGGTTAATAAGCAGTCTAGTTAGAAATGTGTTAGATTCTGTTTTGTTTAAATGGCTGATAAAATAAGTTGTGCTGAATGGAACGTATATTTCTGTTTTTGTGTCTTTTTGTAACTTAAGGTTTAGCCTAGAGGGATTCTCTATGTTTTGAATCTGATTACCCTGTAAGGTATTTACTATCCTGATTTTACAGAGGTGATTCTTTTACTCTTTCTTTAATTAAAATTCTTCTTTTAAGAACCTGATTGCTTTTTCATTGTTCTTAAGATCCAAGGGTTTGGGTCTGTGTTCACCTATGCAAATTGGTGAGGATTGTTATCAAGCCTTCCCCAGGAAAGGGGGTGTAGGGCTTGGGGGGGATTTTGGGGGCGAAGTGGGCTCTTTCCCTGTTATATTTGTTAGACGCTTGGTGGTGGCAGCAATAAAGTCCAGGGACAAAAGGTAAAATAGTTTTTACCTTGGGGAAGTTTTAACCTAAGCTGGTAAAAATAAGCTTAGGGTTTTTTTCATGCAGGTCCCCACATCTGTACCCTAGAGTTCAGAGTGGGGAAGGAACCTTGACAGACTGATTTTCAGAAATGTCAAGTGCCCACAACTCCGACTGACGTTCAAAATCCACTTTTTGTGGCTTCATGGTTTACCAAAAAGCAGTTTAGCAAGTTTACCCTGATGTGAGGGCCGAAGTCACATTTGTCCTCCAACTTCTGTGAAATTGTTGGGGTTCAAAGGCGAATTAAATATTGGTGTTTCCCAGAAAGTATGAATTTTAAATAGGAATTGGGCATCCAAATCCATTAGACACCTTTGACTATCTCAGCCATAATGTCCTCAGGGCACATTCTTTTATAAGCATAAACTCTACTTCTGGAATGCTGTTCACTGACAGTGCAAACATTCTGGCTAATAGTTCATATGGTAATAATTCACAACCTCACAGGAGATTTTCATGACAGACTTTGATCAAAAGAGGTTGAAATAATTTTGTTTTTATTAAGAAAAAATAAAAAGCAAGTCTTGCATTGGGAGACACTAGTACAAAATGGGTTGGATTAGACATATTGATCTGCTGTGATAAGTGTTGTCACAGCATAAACTGGTCCTTTTTCATGGTAGTTGGGCTCAGCCTTACTTTTCCCAGGTGATGGATTTGTGCTGGTGGTTTGGTCAGGTGACCAATCATCATGTGCCATAGAGAATGGGGCTGCTTCCTATAAGAGGAAGCCTGCTAAATTAGAAGGAAAATCAAATAACATTAATTTTAAAATAATTTCTTTAGGAGGCACTGGTCTAGTAAAGAGCTGGAGAAGGTCTTTCCAAAGCGAGGAGCCTGGAGTGGGACCGGCTCAGATCTCTTGTTCAAAGGGAACTAAGGTACGAAGAGAGAACGAGAGAGAGAGAGGTGGTCCTTGCAGCTCTGATACAAGGATAGTTGAAGGAGCTCTAATACAAAGGGAATTAGGAGGCCTTGAGAAAGGGTTGATCCAAGAGGAGGCAGCATAGCCTGAACAGGATAGTATGAACAGTTGAAGGAGCTGATGCTCGCTCTCGCTTAGGGGTATGGGCTGGGGGTTCCAGCTAGGGTATGAGGAAAAAGTCCAATTTCTGTTGTCAATAGAGCAAATGGACTGCTGAGCCCGGGGTGGGGGGTCTAGAAAAGGACCTATATAGCCCACTGAGGACAAAAGCATTGTGTGGACTTGAGGTTTGATCCAGATGTCCTAAGGGGACACCCAGTATGAGTTTGTTCGATGTCTGTCTTATTTTGTGGGACTTCTGGTTCCATCTCTCCCTATGTCCCTTCCTTCCCCCCTGCCCTGAAGTAGGGGTGGACTTTCTGATTTGGCTGGAGAGCTAACTCTACAATAAACATGAGATTTGGCTTATCCAAAAGTGGCAGATTGAAGTGCTAGAAGACCTGTAGAGAATGAGACAATGAGTAAACTAGAGTGAAGAAATTGAGGCAGCAGTAAGCATCTAATGTCAGGTAAGATTCTGTTACAGAGGTCCATTTTAATGATTAAGTTCTTCAGTCATTAAAGTGGAGTTCAAATGGTGCCTGATTCTGCCACTGACTTAACGAGTGTAGTTTGAAGCCTATGTTGAGTGTATGAGAGGAGTACTGATAGCTGTTACAGCTAGTTGTCTCCTAAATATAATTAATTGAAATTCCTTTCAAGAATTACATAATTACCAGGCAGCAACTGCAAACTGATTAGATTTAAAGCTACTACTAAGGGTAAATTCAGTTTTCTGATCTTTACATTTGTACTAATTCTCCTTATAAAGGAAAATGGCTGGTTCTGAATGCTGAAACAATGGGCAACAATTGTACAGCTATTGATACTGGAAGAAATACAATAGACAACCTTAATTAAACATAAAATAAAGACTATGATACTCAGAGATTGCTGTTTAATTTTCCAGAAGAAAAAATTCACACCGAATCCCTTCCTGACTCTTTCAGTGTTGTAAATTTTTCTTTACTAACACTCCACAATAATAAAACAAATAGGCGCAGCAAGAAATGGTGTGCATCATGTTCACATATGTATCGGTGACCAAAGAGGAAAACTCCACTGGTTTCGCAAGGTCAAAAAAATCAATGCAGGCACTGTTAGTTTCTTTTAGAACTACAGACATATCAGTACTGTCACAATTTTCAAAGCATGCCTATTGCTATAATCGTAAGTATATGAGTCAATACTTTCAGACAAGAGTGCCTAAAAGTAGGCATCTAAATCCATATTTATGGAAGTTCAGGGTGCTCAGCACCTCTGAAAATCAGACCACTTTATTAGGTGCTTAAATTATAGGTGGAACTGGTAACAATGGCTACAGTTAAGGCTACCTATCACTTTCTATTATAAGTCCATCTTTTCAGTTGCTTATAACTTTTTCAACTTTAACCATTTGGGCTGAAATTTTCCATGCTTATTCTCTGTCTTAAGGGAATTTTTAAAAAAATTTTAGTTAAATGGCTTGTTCACTTCAGGGAATGAGGTGAGGATAAAAAATATTTTTGCCACTTTTAAAATAAATTTTCAACCATTTATTTGAAGAGCTCTAGTTCCTCTGGGGCTTGGGGTTGCGGGGAAATCAGAAGTATCCCCACATGAGGCAGTCCTGTGCTTAAAGATGTGGTTTCCACCAGAAAGAGCAGAAGAGAATGATACCAAACAAACCAAGTGATTTATTTCTTTTCATTATTAAAAGTACTCAATTATTAAAATTTGTTTCTCTTTAATCATGGTATGCCCTACTGAGTAAAAACCTCCTGTGACTAAAATAATGTGTGTGGTGGTGAGTCACATCTCTGAACTGGCATTAAGAGAAAATTAAGATTTCATCTACCATTCCTTGTTTCTCTGGCTTGTAATTTTTGGTAGGAAATGGGTGGGTGCTCACCACATTAACACATTTCTTTCTCTCACACAAGATCTTGATTCTATTCAGTAAAGGCCAACTCATCACACACATTACTACAAATAAGTGGTAAGCCTTG